AAATTTGAAAATATTTTTCTTCCCGGGCGTGAGGAGGGGGTTGTATTATTTTGGCTGCCCGGTCTTCTAAAAGGGGGGTGGAGGGAACGCCCCAAAAGGGTGGGGATTTCTCGATGCGGATTCAATGGGGAATATCCCCCGCCGTATATCCAATGATCTCTTTCGTCCATGTTAGTCCCCTCAGGGGGGGGGGGTTTTGGTAATTTAAAAAATGGCGCCGGTCCCCCCCCCCGCCCAAAAAACACCACCATCACCACCACCACCAACACCACACACGCCGAGGTTGGCGTACTCTGGTTTTAGGCCTCAGTCAGTTTGCCGTGGGGTCATGGCCTTTCTCTCCCACCCAGAGGGGTCGCCCCCGATACCCCCCCCCCCCTCCCTCTCCCTCTCTCTCTCTCTCTCTCTCTCTCTCTCTCTCTCTCTCTCTCTCTCTCTCTCTCTCTCTCTCTCTCTCTCTCTCTCTCTCTCTCTCTCTCTCTCTCTGTGTGTGTGTGTGTGTGTGTGTGTGTGTGTGTGTGTGTGTGGAGAAGCGCTTACCTGACCCTACCGCGCCTCATGCTCAGGCGGACTCGCCGCTGAACTGCGATTGCGGCAACCTGATACGGAACGGCGACATGCGAGGGTGCGAGATATGGGGAGATATGGGGAGATATGGGGAGATATGGGGAGATATGGGGAGATATGGGGCGACATGCGAGGGTGCGCCGCGCCCGAGAGAAGAAGTTCACAACGAAGGGCGGACGCGCACGCACGACTCACACGGCAGACACGGCGCAGGCGACGGCTTCCTTAGAAGTCGTCGTCCTCGCCACTACAGTAGCCCCAGGCCAACAGACCCGGCACACACTTCTTTTCCGCGGCGCTCCTCCTTGACACACACACAACCACGACCCCCGGGCAAAAGGTCACGCACACGATTGGAGAACAGACAGGCAGCGACCACAGTCGGAAGGCACACACTGGCTCCCAGGAGGGCGATCGTGACTACGCCGTCCACTGCGTGTGAGCTCCTCATTTCACCGGGCCTTGTCATTGAGAGTTCACACTCAGTAGATTTCATCGGTGCCCCGTCGCGTGGCTCGCAGGTACCGCTCGATGGCTCGCATGTACACTGCGCTGCACGCCTCGCAGCCGAGACCGCCTTGAGGCCATGGATTGGGCTGGCGGCTGCAGTTTGCGTATCAGTGGGGAGGGTTCGTCATGTGATGTCGAGCCAGCGCCGGCATCAGTGTGCTGCGCAATTTCGTCCTGTGCTTGTCCGTTCTTGAGAGAGATGCACAAATAAACAAGTAAAAGTGAAAAACGGACCCGTGCTCCGAGAAACCCCACTCGCTTGCTTTTTTTCGCTCCAATCCTGCGGATCTTCATAGTAGACCGGAGGGCTACGAAGCCTTCACACTCCAAGGGGCTGGATAAACCCTCCGGATCAGGGATCTTCATGACAAGCGTTTAAAATTTCTTTTTTTCGGATTGTTCGCAACAAGGTGTGAATAACAGCTTTATGATAGGGTTACTACGACGTACTATGCGGCAATCGACTGGGGGGCAGCCCCCCGGCCGCGCACATCCCGCGATGGCCACCGAGAACGAGAAGTACTAGATGAGGCCGCGGCTCGCTGCACGCTGGCCAACACTGCAGGGCAGTCTGCCGATCACGGGTGATGGCTTCCACCCTGTCGGTACGGCCACGCGTCGCGCGCCGGGCGTGCAGGGTGGGTACTGGGCCCCCGACGGTGACGACGTGTTGAATCTGTTGGTATTGCTAAAAGTTGTCACACTTCGCACCACGCACACAATACACGCACATATCGCGTTCGCGTCCACGGATCTCACTTCTCACCTCCCAACATAAGCATCGAGTGTAGATCGGGGAGAGAGGTGACGACTCGAGGCCACAAAGAGAGACACCAGACTTGGTGAAACCGAATGAGTCCAGACTGACTCACGAGTGAATGTGAGAAAGTAGAATGAGAGAGGCGGGCGCGATGCGCTCACCTACATCACAGGTGTTCGCGTGTGTGCGCCGCACTTGTCGGAGCGATGATTACGACCCCACACGAGGCTCGGTCGGGGCCGGGGACGGCGGCACCGGGAGGGCGGACAACGATTGGTACAGTGCGGCGATATCTCCCTGCAGCGCCATCTGTCGTTGCTGGAGCTTGCAAGGCGGCGTCTGCGGCCCGCCGCGCGGCTTCGGTCGCCGGTGCGAGCCGCGGCCGCGGCCCTTTGCCTTGCCAGACTTGCGCCTGCCCTTTGCCTTGCCAGACTTGCGCCTGCCCTTTGCCTTGCCAAACTTGGGGTTGTTGCGGCAGCGCATGGCCTTGCGCCGGCACTTGCACCCGCACCCCGACCGCTCGGCGTCCAGCTTCGCCCGCTGTATCTTGGTGAGCAAGATCGCGGCCATCGCCTTGTCGCACACGGCGAGATAGTACTCGCGTGATGCAGCGTCGGCCTGCCCCGCGTCCGCGCCCGCGCCAAGGGGCTTGGGCGCCACGGGCGCAATGCCGCCGGAGGTGGGGGCTCCCGGCGACGGCGACTTCTTGCCGTCGGCGGGCGTAGCCTGGTAGACGACGCCCTCGCCCAGCCGGCGGACTTCGGCCTCGACGCCGACCACGTAGGCCGGTCCGGAGCCGCTGCGGGCCGACGCGGGCCCGCTCTTCCCCACCGCCTTCGGCGTGGGCAGGCCCGGGTGGCAGGCGGTGTCCTGCAAAGCGCGATAGGGGCACACGGGAAGGGAGATTATTACGGTGGGAGAGCGAGGAGTGCCAGGAGAGAATGCTGCGGCGCGCTCACCACCGCTGGGTCGGGCGTGTTGGAAACGGTCTTGGCCGGCTTCTCGACCTCCTTGGCAGCCTCCTCGGCGACGGCCTCCTTGGCGACGGGCGCCTCCTCGGCGACTGCCTCCGCGGCGGCGGACTCCTCGGCGGCGGACTTGGCGGCGGCCTCCTTGGCGGCGGCCTCCTCGGCGGCGGTGGCGGCCTCCTCGGCGGCGGCCTTGTCGGCGGACTCCTTGGCGGACTCCTCGGCGACGACGGCCTCCTCGGCGGCGGACTCCTCGGTGGCGGCCTCCTCGGACTCCTCCTCGGTGGCGGACTTAGCGGCGGCCTCCTCGGTGGCCGACTCGGCGTCCTCCTCGGCGGCGGCGGACTTGGCGGCGAACTCCTCGGCGGCGGTGGACTTGATGCCGAACGCCTGGGTGAGGGAGAATACGCAAGTGTTCGGAGACAGGAAGACCGTAAGGATGATGACAATCCGGGCGTGCACACTCACCTCGGCCGCGAGGTGCGAAGGTGGCAACGACAAGTAGATCTCGTCCACATCGCCGTCGGGCTTGGCCGTGTTCACTGCGGGCTTGGGCTCGGTCTTGACGTCGTCCTCCTTCACGACGACGTCATTAAGCGACGCGGGCTCGCTCTCGGGCGAGATGCCGTCGGCTTTGCCTCCGGCAGAGTCGATGACGGACGAGAGCGGCGACAGAGGTGGCAGATCGTCGACGAACGTGAGGCGCCGCGAGGCCTCGGCGCAGGAGTCGAGCGAAGCGAGCTCGCCCTTGGACTGGATGCCGTCCTCGAGCGAAGCGGGCTCGCCCTTGGACTGGATGCCGGCGGCCTCGCCTCCGGCAGCGTTGAAGGTCGTGTTGCCCGCCAGCGACGCCTGTGGCAGCCAGAAGGCGAGAGGGTAAGTCTTGCAGGTATCGTGGGAGCGCAGTGTTACTCCGCGGCGCCTGCTTGTCGGCATGCGGCGGCGGCGGAGGAGAGAGCTTGATAACGAGCCGGCTACCGGCGGCCGGCACGAACTCGAGTTTGAGCTTGTCGAACATAGGCGGTCGAATGAGTTCCTATGGAGGATAGTAAGACGGGAAGTGAAGTACGCCCCTCCGGGATCCCGACCATGTGAAAGAGGGTCAAACCCTATTCCGGAGATTTCTGGGGGTATATGGGGTGTATGGGGGTACACAGGGGTACATGGGGTATGTACATGGGGTATGAGAAAATTTCGGCAATTTCACACATCTCGGCAAATCTCACACATCTCCGATCCCCCTTCCCCCCCCGTCCCCCCCCCCCCCCCACACCCCTCCGCCCCGCCAGTCCCCAAGTCTCGCCAAAAGGCCTAAGAAATCGCTTGACCGCATCAGGTTCGCATCTCTCTGTGGGGAGAGGACCAACGCAGCTTCTGATGACTGTTGGGACGAGCAGCCGGAGAAGCCGACGCGCCTACGGGCAGCACGCCGCGGCATTAGCGTCGCGAGGAGGCCGCCGGTTCGCGCTCTCGCGTCGTGCACGGCGCTAAGACTGCAGCCGGGCGGCGACTGGCGAGCGAGCAACAGTGTCGCTCTCGCCGGAAGAGAAGGAGGGCGGTCCGGCGCGGGCTCATGGGAAGCACGGGCGGGGAATCGGCAGCAGCGGACGCGTCTAGCAGCTCCTTGATGGCGGCGCACCTGCATGCGGGAGGGGTAGGCGGTGCGAGGCCGTTCGGCAGCAAGCGAAGCGCATCGCATGGTCGGGGTGGTGAGGGGGCAGCGGGTTCGGTGAGCGGTAGGCGTTGCCGGGGTCCAGGCGTGCAGCTCGCGGCGGCCATCTGTTATGTGATGCGGCAGGGCGAGCGCGAGCGGAAGCGGAAAGTTCATGGCTTGCCTGGCAGAAGGCCGTCGGGGACGAATGAGGCGGGTTGAAGGGGGGACGAGAGATTACGCTGATTTCAGACGGAAAAGAATTTTACAATGCGGTCGCACGACACGATTCACGCGACACAGGCGAGGCGCGGGCGACGGCTTCCTCAGAAGCCGTCGCCCGCACCACAGTGGAGCAGTCACACCACTCCCTCTCTCTCCGGCGCCCACCCACTCCCCACCCCGACATCCCCACCCCACCCCACAACCCCGCCCCACCCCGACCCGAGCGAGCAAGCAGACGGAAAAGAATTTATGTTGCAAGGCCTCCCGACCGCGTCGAACTCATCGGCGCGGGTTCTCTCGGCTACGGGACCGGCCCCAGCTTCGGCTGAGGGCTGACAAGCTGCCGAGCCCAAATCATTGACATTGTGATAGTCGTGATTTCTTGTTGGTTTTCAAAAATCTCTCTCTACAACCCATGTGGAGAGAGAGAGAGAACACACACACCCATGTGGTCCCTCCTCTCAGATTTCAACACAAAAGAAATCGACTCCCGAACGACCGCGCCCGAGTCGTACTCTGGCGACTCACATTGAGAGAGAGAGGGAGGGAGGGGGGGAGGGAGGGAGGGAGGGAGAGAGAGAGAGAGAGAGAGAGAGAGAGAGAGAGAGAGAGAGAGAGAGAGAGAGAGAGAGAGAGAGAGAGAGAGAGAGAGAGAGAGTGGTGGCGCCCTCGGCAGCGGGGCAGCGCCGCGCCGCGCAAAACTTGCGCGACCAACTTGCGACCTCTGTCCCTCGTATTCACCCCAGATTTTGCCCTATCCCGGCTCACCAGGTACCGCGAGCGGCGAGCCGCGCCAAGTTTGCTCCATTTCCGACAAGTTCATCCCGCCCGAACGCCGATCTTCGGCCGTCAAGAGGCCCAGCGCAGGACGGGGCCTCGGACCGGCCAGGTGTGGATTCTCCACGGCGCTGCGGTGTATCTGCGCGCCCATGGCGCGTTCAGGGGTGCGCCTGAGGCGTGTAGACTGCGGGGCGCCGCGATAGCGCGGCGCCGACGATTGTGTCGCTCACTGTCACACCGTCGACACGGTCACAGTGTGTGTGCAGTGCGTCCACTCCGGCGACCGTGACGCCGTCGGTTCTCGCCTATATCGGCTAGTGTGGAGCTCTCAGTGCGGTTGCGTGTTGTATAAGTGATGCTGCACTAGGCGGCCCGTTTTTAGCAAAAATCAGATACCACATCGCGCGTGATCATCGAAAAACCGCATGTTCGCCCGTCTTGGACCTCTTCGTACGGCTCCGAAAAACCGCTCCTTAACGACGACTACGCGGCCCGGCGGTCGATCTGCGCCTTCTCAGCGGTGGAGGGGATGTGGGAGGTACGTGCGGACCGCGTGGTGCTGCGATGGCTTGACGAGTGCGACTCCCAGCGTCGACTTTTCGACCCCACGGAGCCTCTGCTGCTCCGGGGGGAGGGGGTCTGCAAATCACCCGGCCGAACTTCAGAGTCGCGGTGCTCCTCAAATACCGCTCAAACGCCCACGATGTTGTGGAGGGGACCTATGCTGATGATCCTGGCCCGATTGGTTCGCTCAGAAAGCTTCTGGGTGGTCGTTAAGGCTCGGCTCCCCGCACACCGGCCCGGAGTTTGGGTATAGAGCCGTACCCCCTAGACCGTCAAGTCGGAGCCAGTCTGCGGCGACCACAGCGCTCAGAAAGATACATGGCGAGCTTTTCAGAGTCAAGCGATTGCGCGAAATCCCACACTGGTGGATTTTGGGGCGCTGTGGGCCCCCTATCACAAGGCACCGCCTAGGGCACCGCCCGCGCTCTCGCAAGTCGCATACTCTAGTGGGGCGCCGCCCTGAACAAAGGCCGTCGCGTGCTAGGCCCGGGTGGACCAGAGCGGACCAGTCGGCCTCCTCCCCCGCGCCCTCCCGCCGCTCCCCTCTTTCCGGCAGAGTGGCGCGGCTCTGCGGCGCGACGGCCGCCCTCGCGCCGGACGGCTAGCCAGACGAAACCATGACGTAGGCCGCGCGCACCAGTTTGTCGTTACACGTGAAGCCGGGCTGCATCTCCTCGCAGACGAGGCCCTCGGCGTACTCCTCGCTCGGCACCTGCTGGATCGCCATGTGCAGGTTGTAGTCGAACTCTTGGCCGACCGTCTCGATCTTTTGGACGCCGAGCCCCTCGAGCGCCGCCATCAGCGAGGCGTGGAGCTCGAGGTAGCGCCCGTTGGCGAGCTCCTGCGCCTCGTCGTCGGCCTTGATGGAGCCGCGCGCGCGGTCGAAGTTGTCCATCATGGGCAGCAGCTCGTTGACCACCTTGATCTTTGCATCGGTCCGGATGTCGGCGACCTGAGACTTGTGGCGCGACTGGAAGTTTTCGAGGTCGGTCTGCAGCCGCTGCCGCTGCGAGGACCACTCCTCGCGCTTGGAGTCCGCCTCGCCCTTGAGCGCCGCCGTGTCCTCCTCCACCTTGGACAGCTCCGCCTCGAGCACCTTCAGCTTTTGCTTGAGAAACGCGGGGCTGCTCAGCAGGTCCTCCTCCTCCTCCTCCTCCTCCTCCTCCTCCTCCGCCACTACCTCCGCCGCCGCCTCCGCTGGCTCGGCGCCCGCCGCGTCTCGCGTCGACGCCTCGGATGCGCCCTCCCCAGCCGCAGGCCCATCCACGCCGGTGCCGTCCGCAGCGGCGCCATCGGCCTCAAGCATGACGGCCGCGCAGACCCGCGCTGCGCGAAGCGGCGAAAGCAGCAGCGCCGGCGGCCCGGCCGCGTGCCCGGGCGTCCTCAGCGGGGCGCCGGCGAGGGCGAGCGCGAGGGTGGCTGGAGATAAGAGGAGCATTGCACGACGAGCGCGTCGAGTAAGAAAACCCGGCCGCACTGCTTTCAGACGCGTACGCCAATTTCCCCTAACCTGCGCAAATCGTGCAACTCGTGATACCCGAGGAGTCTGGAGCTTCAGCTGGCGAACCATCATGCCGCTCTCGGCACAGAAGCAGCGCGAGCGCCGCGCCGCGCAGCGCGCTGCCGAGGCTCAGGACGCGGCTCGCGGGCAGCGCAACCGCCCGGCGCCGAGCCGGTGCTAGGCCGCCTCCGCTGCGCCTGCTTCCTTGCGCGCCGCTGGACGTCGGCCGAGAAGACCGCTTCCCTCTGGGGACCCGACTCCGCGGAGATCGCGCGCGCGTCGTGAGTGGCGGCGCGCGCGCGATCTCCGTTCCCGGGCACGCCGGTCGCAGTGGCATGGGCTCCCAGGCTCAAAAGCGCTCCCGTCAACAGCGAGCGAGCGCCGCCGCTGCTCCTCCTCCCGCCGCCGCTGCTCCTCCTCCCGCCGCCGCTCACCGAGACCCGCCGCCGCCGCCGCCGCCGCCGCCGCCGCCTCGCGCCTCGCCTCCGTCACCGCCGCCCTCCATCTCGCAGCGGCGCGTCCCTCTGATGGCGCGGGCGCCTCGCTCACCGGCGCCTCGCCGCCGCCCCCCCCCCCTTCTCGCGCCGCTCCGCTCGTGGCCGCCGCCTCCCCTGTCAATCCCGCCGCCTCCCCTGTCATCCCGCCGCCCGCACCACCGCCGCCACCGCCTCGCGCCTCGCCGCCGCCGCCACCGACCGCCCTCCCCTGCGCCGCTGAGAGCGCGGTGCAGGGGGTGAGCCCCCGCTGCGCAGCCTCACCGTAGTGCACTGCGCTCTCCGCGCCCCTGACGATTAGTGAGGAGGTGGTGTTGCACAGCATGGAGCTCGGCGAGCGTTTAGCGAGCCCCTCAGCTAGTAGAGGGAAGAAGGGAGCGAGGGGCGTACGGGCGTTTCGTTCTAAATTTTGATGCACGATGAGAAACCAGCGACGGGGCAGGTTGCGTTCGTTTGTCACTCGCCATGCGCGTCCTTGGCTGACCCTCCAAAACTCCCTCCCCGCCGTTCGCGGCTCGGCTTGCGTATGCGGATGGGAGCTTCGAGGACATGCAGGCGTCCCACCCCCTCCGGCCATCCCCCCGGCTCCCAAGCGCGCGGCCGCGACGCGCTGCGCACCCTCTTCCGCGCTGGACCCGCTCTCGGCATGGCCGTCGTCCGCCGAGATCACCTCCTCTTCGCGCCGCAGGTGCACAACCAAGGGCTGGCCACCTCCGTATCCATCATGGTGAAGCCAATGGGCCAAAAAGGGAGAGCGCTCCCCTCCCAGGTGGCCGGAGGGTACACCTCGGGTCGGCGTGCTGGGGGGGGCGCCGGTGCGCAAGCCCACTTTCCGGGCGACCCCGAGGGGGAGGAGGCCGGGCGAGTGGCAGCAACTCACTGTTAGTGTCCCGGGCCGCTGCGGCGCCGTTTATACGGCCCCTCGTGATGTCTTTCCGATTTTGCATTGTGAGTCGTCCTCTGGCCAGCCGAGGGGCACCAGAACGGCATGTGTACTGGTGCTGGCTGCGGGTGCGGAACGGGCTTTTTTTAACTCGCAACCAACTATACTATACAAGGACACCCTCGGGGGGGACACTCGGCGCATGTGCGTCACGTCAGGGTGGAGTTGGCAGTGGCCGAGCGTCGTCTCCCAATCGACTCGCAGCGCGGAGTCGAGGGGTGAAGCGCGTCGCGCTGCGACACTCGAGAGCCGGCGGGATAGCCGTGGGGCGCGGCCGACTTTGATGTCCTCGAAGGTCCGGTGCTCATTCGTCCTCTGAGACCCACGCGGACAGGAAAGGGGCGAGAACGCGGCCATTCTCCATTGACAATCTAACGCAACCTACATGTAGCCCGTTCCACACAGTGTGAGAGGACTAGCACTCACCGCCCGCACACTGCCGCCCATCCCTCCAAACGGGCTTCTTGGGTGGAAAGAGATGCCACCGGCGGCTTCCCCGGTTACTCAAAACGGTCTGGTTTTCTCTTCGTTCTCGAGGTTGATATCCTTTTTCCGCGTTGGGTAGCGAGGATTGGTGTGACGCGATCCACGCAGGCGTGGTTTCTGGCGGCCGACCGTCAGTGCACGGAGTTGCCACTTCTCCGACTGCCCCGGCTAGTTCACGAGTTTCGCGGGTGTGACCCCATGCCGCATGGGTGACGCATGCCGAGACCTCGCCAACCGCGTTGCAACTTGGGCAGGGGGTTGCGGCTTGCGCCCTGTGTGCGGTTCACCAATATGCTTTCCCGCGCGCGTTCGCCGCCCCGCGGTCCGCGGAGAGCGCAAGAACCGAGCAATCGTGTTCAGAGTGCCCCCCACACCTCGCACGAGCCAGTGCCAAAAGTCGACTAACGTTGCCTGATGAAAAGGCACGATCCGTGGAACGAGGTGAATTACCACTGTCCACGGTTCTTGAGGTTGCGTTTGACGGTATCGTACGCAAGCTGCTGCTTGGCCCAGCTTTCCGCGCAGGTAGCATTGGTGACGCTGGTTGCTTTCTGCCCCAGATGTGTGTATGCGCGCTTCACACGGCTCTTGTCGGCGTCCTGAGGGATCCGAAGGACCTCACATGCCCGTGCAAATGACTTCTCGTCACCAGATTTCGTCAAACCATCCAGGACAGGGGATCGTCACCGGGAAATATCCAGGCCATGTGCACCGGAAGAAGCAACCATCTGAAAGAAACTACGCCGAAGGGCAAGTTGCACAGTGCGGTAAACCAATTCATGGCGAGTGTGAATTCCGCACTCTCTGATGTAAGAATGCAGTGGGTGCCGCGGTTGGTGATCTTGAAGTCCCCCATAACCTGTACCTGAGCGAGGGACGTTCGCCAGTCCGCCGATGGCCCTGCGGAACGGCGATTCAAGTGTGAGGGAGCGTGCTTGCTGGTGTGCTCAAGGCGCTGGTGTGGGCAATCATGAGGTTGCTACGGTCACTATGATGGGCACGGTGAATGTGATGCTCGATCTTATTTCTCTGTGACTGCATGTGCATGCACATGTAGCATGCGCATGTGCAGCGCATGTGCATGTGCATGTCTGAATGGCGTGTGTCTCGCGCCTTGCGGGGGGGGAGCGGAAAGGAGGAACCTCTTCCCAAGAGCACCACTCTTGGAGCGCCGCCACTACCACCCAGAGCGCTGCAAGCAGCGCCGGGCAATGACGGCTTACCGCCCACCCAGCCCCCCCTCGGCACACCCCGGCAGCCAATGTGTGACGGCTCGAACCCGCTAAGCCATCCCGCAAGCGGGATAGCCCGCCACTCGAACCCGCAAGCGGGCGTACGAGCCGCGAGCGGCTCGCACTCGTGACACGCAGGCGTCCGACAGACGGCGCCGGGGCTAGGCGACCGAAGAGGAACTACGGCAAGAACCGCACACCACCCGCTGACGAGCGCTCGCGGAACTGGTCCGCGGCGCCCGCCAGGGGCGTGCGCGAGACAGGGCTCGGAGCCCTTTTCTGTAAGCAGGGATTCCCTCCCGGCGGGGGTTGTGGCGGAGAGCCGGCATGGGAATCGCCGGCCCCCACCCAGGGGGTGCCCCTGCCAGGCGCCGCAAGCGGTGCCCGACAGGGGCGGGTGCCCCCACCCCGAGGGGTGGGGGCGGGGGCGGGGCCCAAAGTGATTCGGCCTATCGCCTCGGCAAGGTCCTCGGTGCGATTCTCCACGGTGTCGTCGAGCGAAAGCGCGGTAGCCGCGGAGGTGATGACGTCGACATCGGTGGAATCGGCTGGGTCAACGTCAATGTCGATAGCTCTTTCACGCCGGATCCCCTTGTTGTCTCCGATGTGTCGCGCCTGCGCGCTCGGCGTGTATGAAATCCATATCACCCCCTGCTCCACGATGGGGGCTTTAGGCGACGAGGGCGGGGCGCTAGGCGGCGGTTCGTTTTCGGGGGAGTCGGGTGGGTCATCGGCGTAGCTAGAGGCCCCATCACCGATGTCGTCGAGTGGGATGGTTGTACCTCCTCCGTTAATACCCACGTCGTCGCCCACGGTGCTGCTCTCCCCGTCGTCTGCGTCTGTTGGGATGGCATGTCTGAATGTGGCACGCCCCCGCCCGGGCCGCCGCGGGGCGCGTCCATCCATGCAGCCCGTGATGAGCATGTGCATGACACTCGCTCTAGCCTCGCTTTATCTTTTTACCTCGAGGTACGTACTTTTAGCTTACTGGGAGACAAGGGAGAGGGGGTTGTGCTCTCTAGGCCCCTAAGGGCCCTACGCGCGGCGTGAGAGCTTGGAAGCGAGCTTTGCATGGCGATCGAGGGTGCTCCGTGCCGCGAGGACGTGCTGTGCACCCGCATGCTCGCCTTCCAAGCGCTCTGCGCGGCGGCCACCTTTGCAGTCCGATTCGGCCTCGCGGGGCTCTTCTTTCTACTCTCGGTGGTGCGATGATTTGTGTGTGTGTGTGAATTTTAGTGCACACACACATGGTACACTCATACAATGAATTGACATCTCCCATGAGGGCGAGTTAAGGCTAGCAGTAGGCAGCTAGCCTGTGAGGAGAGCGTCCATAGACACCTCACATGACCCCACACACGGTCTCGCCCATGCCTTGCGGCTGGCGGCGAGATTGCTAGATTCTTGGTCGTCTCTATCCCCCCCCCCCCCCTCTGCTATCTCTCTCTATGTTGCGGGTGATGCCGTTCTCTTGTTCGGCCTGCGGAGTGCGGTGCTCCCCCCTTCTCTACTACTCTCAGGCCAGGCTTGCAAGGGTCGCGCGGAGCATAATGCGCTCGTTCTGGCTGCGATGGGCTCGCCGGAGCGCCTTCAGCGTGCCATCGTCCAAGCCTGCAGCCGGGACCAGCGCAACTACGGCACCCGAGGCTTCCGCCTGCAAGACCATGCTCTGCGCCGGCGCGGGGAGAACAGCGCCCAGTCCGAATGAACAGACGACGTGCTGCTCGATGGCATCCTCGCTCAAGCGGTCGCCACCAAAAGCCTCGTCACCAAGCGACCGAACCTTCTCGATGCTCCT